TCTCTAAAATAGTAATATACCCCTTGGAGCTGCGCCTAATTCGCTTGGATCAGGGCTACTTCGCCATATCTGTCAAGCTTTCAACTTCCGTGCAAACTTTTGTGTAACACTTCTATCAATTTACGACAGAGTAGCTAGGGTAAATTATGCGACCAGAAGAACTTAATTCTTCAGCACTTTCCAGAAATCCTGACCTTCCCACGAAAACAGCGAACTTGAGCTTACTTGAGCATTTCGAGCTTGCATGTTCCCTCATGATCCAATGGAAATGAGCCTTTTCAACGGTGCTGAAACAGACTGTACTCGATTGAATGGTCCGGCTTGAGACATGCGGGTATCTAAACCACTGAATAGTTAATATATAACTTTCTTCCGAGGCTTTAATCGAATTTACTCTGAATTTCTAGGAACAAGGTGGGAACAAAGGTATGAATGTTGTAGCAATCAAAGGAACAAATAAATTCAAACAATATTTCTAAAATTTCCTTATACTTACGTTACACCTTACTTTCTCGAAGTTTAAATTATTTTAGCAATATAACATTAACAGCCACATTATAATGAGTGATCGCATTGTAACTACTTCAAAAAAAAGGCGACAGCTCCTGACGAAGGTCGAGCTAGCTATAACCCGTGGGACAATGAGTTTTTTGGAAAAGCAAATATGAAAATCGAATGATTGCAAATAAATAACCTGAGTAATGAAGTCATAACGACGCCGAGGACCATTCAGTTCAGAATGCCCTCGTCGCGTCTTTTATAACGCACTTGAAAACCCCTTGATTCAGCGAAATTTTTGCAACACTAGCACAAGCTGAGAGGGCAAGTTCTCGGCTGACGCCACTGATTAGACGCACTTCCCGCAATTTTGCAGCAACTTTGCAAAAATGTACCCCACGCAGCCACTGTCCTCCAAAAGCAACTTATTTGAACCCTTCAGGTAACATAACAGCCGCCCCATCGCACTACCATACCGAAGATGTTCTTCAATTTATTTTATGAGCACCACAATTTTTCCATTCAACACGCTCAAAAAAGACGTGTCCCACAAACACGCCCATCTCTAAAAATTGCTCTTGAACTAAAAGAAAAGTTGAGGTCCAACGCTGGTCGATTCCTTTATGAGGCGCTCCACGTATCCATCTGCAATCAGAAATCAGACATATCTGTTCCACAGAATGGGCACTAATGGTAAGGGGCAAGCGATCATCCTCAAACGAACCTCACACAATAACCACTGACTACGCAGCAGTGAGCTTTGGGTCGAGGATCGAGAGGGTTCAGGCTCCTATAGAGCTGTAGGCCTTCCTAAAATGTAACTGCAGCCTAAGACTTGATAAACATTGAAGAAACAACCCCAGACGAGGTCGTGTCGAAGTATCCATACTGTGGTAGGGTGGTAGCCCGCGAGCATCACAGTTGTGCCATTGTCGCGGCTCTAAAGTGCGCAACGTTGGCGCTAAGGCCTCACAAAATGATCTGATTGTGACAAATGTAACCTTACGGACGAGACACTTCGCGCACACCCCATGACACGCAACGTGGGTTGCGACGTAGTGGCTAATTCAAATACCCTCGGATTGGTGAAGCCAAGGAAGAAGCGAGCGCTCAAACAACTCGTCGAAACGCCCTCCTCAGCTCAAGAATGAGTCCTTTTCATCGGCGGTTCGCATTGCCTCCTTTTCCATTCTCAGTCAACTCGCCATCCACAATTTCATTATTGACCGCTGTAACCCCGGCTTTGATCTATGGTTGTTACTTTGAGCAACATAACACATGTACAGCTCACAGATACTGCCTTCCCTGCTCCGACGTCTATTCTCTAAATATCACTTCGAGGGGATTTGAGGCCCATGTGACATTTCGTAGATGAATTTGAGCTAGATCAGAAACTACATATTACTTGTTTTGACCTCAAGATGTCAGAAATTTCCTTGCTGTTGTGATCGTCAAGCGTAATTATTCGCGCTTTGAAATAATCTCATAACACATATTGAATTTCTGACGTGTTCATCTCACGCATCAATGAACAACCACTTCGTAAACTTCGTCTTGGTGTCTGCGTCTCTCTCACCCCTATACTCTCTCATCTTCGAGTTTGTTCTCAACTGGGTGGCCAGTATCTCTTATGCTGTCCACATCGTGGACCAATCAACTACCCAAAAACCAGACCTCATTTAGTGTTTTGACGCTTTCTTTATGGCCAGTCAATTAAGACATATTGCTAAATATTTGGATCCCATTATCCCTTCTCCTTCTACTACCGTAATACCTTTGACTTTAATTCCTTAAGTTGTGATGCGAATTTAACAAAGACGAGCGCCACTTTCAAAGCACTAATTCAAAAAATTCCCATTTCACAAGAAATCACCGGAAATCAACTTATATGACGTAAACGTGAATTCAAAATCAGTGAGATTTGAGATGGGTTGGAGTAGGGTCCCATGAGTACAAAGAATTTTGAAGAACTTCCGCGTTAACAAATTTTGTCTCTATGAAATCCAAAGAATAGCAGCTTTCGAACATTTCCAAATTTCGAGCACTGCATCCGAACACAAGTGTGATATAACTGGTTGTAACCAATAGGGCAACAAGAGCTGAGAAAAGCTCTCTCGTACATCCGTGGGTAGTTTCACAAGAAAACATGCATTGGCTGAATTTAAACGTAAAAACAAAAACGCTATGATGATGTATGACAATGGATTGCATAATGCAAGCGATAAAACACCTCGTCACCTATATCCTTTTTACAGCGAAAACGAGAAAAAAATGAGTTTGAAGAGCACAGCTTTTGTGCTGACAGTGTTAACCACTGAACTAAACTGCACGGCGAAATCAAACTTTCTCGGAATTTTGATCGACAAGACTTAAAGCTGTGCTTCCAAACTCACCTAGGACCTTTCAATGTTTTTTTGGACCATGGACCAGCGATGACATGAACCTTTCTTAGAAGATAAAAAGTATAATGGAGCGGTTATGAGCAAACATAGCAGTTAGTCATGGACCGGCA